CTGTGAGCACTATAACCTTTGTAACTATGAATCACGCAATTTATCGTGCTGTTATTTTTTCGGAATAAGAGTGAACGTTAAGGTATCGAGGTGAAGTCTGAAATACGGTCATCACTTGGAACATCCCACACCCACCCTGGTGAAACAGATCTTGATATTTAACATGCAATGAAACTTATTGTTTGTTCAGATTATTATGTTTATTGTAGATTTTTTTGTAAATCTCGAAATGTAGTTGTTATTGATATCTCTTTTTCGAAAGAAACCGATTAAAAGTAATTTTAATTTGTTTACATAAATAGAAAAATTAATTTTTCATTCAAACTTTAGTGTCGTTAATGATTATCTGCGTTTGGTACTCAATTTACATGGCCAAAACCCAATAAAACGCATTCACTTATATACATTACACCTAATTAGACATTTTCTAATGTTTGTGCTTGTAGATTTAGAATTACTAGAAAAGATACAACGTGAAATTAAAATTAAAATAGAAAATGCAATTTTCTTTATCAAATAAAACAAAAACTATTAAATTTTAATATGTATTATTATTGAGACAAACTAACTAACTTTAATTGTTATAAATTAATAAACAAATGTATATGATATAATAGACTTATGAAAAACAGCTACTTTATTTACTTGCATATCTATACTCGTATTCATATATAACTATACTTTTTTAATATTTGAAGGCTTTTCAGATTGGATCTAACTTTATATTGAAACAAAATTATTAAAAACTTTGGAAATGTAGTGTATTCGACAATTTTCAATTTTGTCAATTTCAACTTTCCATAGATTAAGTTATATTAATCGCAAAAAACGAAAATATTTTTTTTATATACCTTTACGTTTCAAACGTTCCTGGCCATTTTATCTTAACCAATTAACTTTAACAAAAATGGATGCATGTATGTTGTGCATGTGTGTGTATGTATGCATACTTTCGTCGCCGATTTGGGAACTTGGATCAACCGATTTTAAATAATTCATAAAACATTCGATCCGTATTAATGGGGAGACGTGCTGATTAGTTTTTGGCAAAGTCAGGTTTGACCGTTGCGAAGATACTGGGCAACAACCGCCAAAAGTGGTTATTCGGTTTTTGAGAGAAGGGAATGTCCGATTTGAATGATTTAATATATTTTATTTATATTAACGAAACGAACAACTAAATTTTTGGGAAACCATGTCCAGCGATTTCGAAAACCAAATAAAAAAAGTAAAAAAACACTATTTTGCGATGAATAATGATCATTAGATATAAGTCCATCAAATTATCAGATATTTTATAGAGAGTTTTGTAATAAGTATAAATTTTGTTTACATTTTTATATTATGGGCTTCGTACCAATGTTTATACGGATTAGACCCAGATGCAGCGCTTACGCGTTTCGATATTTCGTTCCTCAAGAAACTACACAGCGCTATTGATTTGAAAAATATTCGAAACTTTCATTCACAATAAAAAAAAGAAATTTTTCAAAAATTCCAACATTTCCAAAAATTGATTTTTTTCAAGTTTTCAAAGAGTTTTGAAGCTTTTTTATAGTTTTAATTCTCGGTACGGAAAGTTCCAGCTTTCTGATTCAATTCTAGACAAAATGATATCGAAAACGGGTTCATCAACGGTCGTAACTTGACGCAATTAAAACTTTGTTGTATTATATGTGCCATGCAATGAGTTCACTAGTATGTGGAAAAATATATAAGATTTATTAATTTTGTACAAGCTTTAATTATTCAATCATTTCGCCTCAAACTCATTTCTTACATTTTTTTCGCCTCAAACTCATTTCGTACATTTTTTTCCACTGCAAAAAAGTTGTTCAGTTTCAGAAGTTTTGAAAAAATATATTACAAATCTATAAACAAAACAGCTAAACTCTGGTCGAAAAATGTACTATTGTCCGGGAATGTTGCTCTTTTGAACGATAATTAATACGTCTATTATTGTTTGTGGATGCCTTGGACAGCATTCCTCCGTTTAGAAATGTCTTTGAAAAAGAATGAGGTCATTCCATTTATCACTGTAAATGTAAGACCTGCGTACAATATGAACAATAGAAGTAAATATATCTGCATGTTATGTAATCCGTAATAGTTTTCTGGTATTGTCGGTTTAAAGTAAACACAATGAAAAGTTATATATATATATATATATATATATATATATATATATATATATATAGTTGGTTGCCCAACTTAATTTCAATTATTATATATATTAAATATGTTTATTAAACGTAATGTTTTATTTAGATGAATTTATGTGTGGCGTTTTGTTTAATTTAAGCAGGCATATCGATGGCAAACGTATGAAACAATTTTCTAAGTTTTAAAACTTGTTAGCTAAAGGTGTATCTGTTAACAAAATAATAATTTGGGATCTTAAATGAATGCAATACTTTTAAAATTACCATTACCGCCGTGATATTTTAATTGTTGAATTTTAGAATCTCGTGGTTCTCCATCAACCGCAAAGTTAATCTCTCCTGAAATCGGTTATTTGAATAATTAAGTTTCCGTAGACTAATGGTTATGGTTCTGTCTTTATATCCAGGAAGTTTCACATAGAATACCGGACAGCAGTGGTGACATCGGTTTTCTCTGAAATATAGATAGAGTTCTGTTTTCGAGTTCAAATAAACTTTTCTAGCTATTCTATCAAATTAAAAAAAGAAAAATAAACCAAAATTTTATGAAATAAATAATTTTACTTTGCTGTTTAAACGTTATAAAACGCAATTATATAACTATCGCATTTTATTTTATTTTTTATTTATTTTTTTTTATATATATACAGCAATCAAACTCTTTTTTCTTTGTTGTTCTATGAGCTGTTTGTGTGTATGACTTATGATCTACGGTGAGAAGATGAGAAGCAACCCATCGGTTATCTTTCTCCTATGTGTGGGTATTTTTATTAGCTCTTATGTCTAATAGTGTGGAGGTTTTATTAGCTCTTATGTCTAATAGTGTGGGGGTTTTATTGGCTCTTATATCTAATGGTGTGGGGGTTATTAGCTCTTATGTCTAATAGTGTGCATGTGGTTGTATGCAACTATGTCCACGAAGGACGATTTCCACTTGGAATTATATTGTGATCTATAACCCCAAGTGGAAATTTGACATCAAAGTTGCCTGATGTCAGACTTGGCGGTAGCGGAAATTGAACCAGCGAGCCTGGGGTCTAGTTGGTGCTAGCCCACGCCCTAACCGAATTATTAACTTCCCATAGTTATTGTAATGTTTTGAAGATTTCTGAACGTTTTGGCATACCTAGAAAAAATGGATGTTTGTGTGTGTATGTATGTATGGATACAAATTTCCAGTCACGTTTTCACGTTTTCGGGTGCACGGATCAACCGATTTTTTTTTGTATATCGAAAATAATTCAAATTTCATTTTTATTGTGACTAAAGTTCTAATATAACTTGAACAAATAATTTTAAATTTGCAATTCAGTTTATATAATTCTTATAAACATTAGATAATTTTACAATATTTATAAAAATCTATTTGAAAACATTTAATATTCCTCGAACATTTCGTTACGGTACGGGAAGTTCCAGCAATTTGCATTAAGGCACGATGCCATACACCCCACTAGTTTGTTTTTTTGTTTGTTCTTCGATAATAGCCCCGTCAATTTAAGGTTACTATAATTCATAATGAGCTGTAACTTGGCAAAATTGTTTAAAATACAATTATAAAAGGAATCTCAAAAGTCTTCATCGATCCGAGTTTTGGAACACTTGCAAAATAATATTTGTGAATTTGGGCTGGTAAAAATAAAGGCAGTAATTATAAAAAAGCAACTAACTTTATTCTTAGGAGTCATAATTTTCAAATGTTTCTACAGCTCTTTCGTGTTGTTTTTCTTGATCTTCTTCTTCTTCTTTTTTCTTCTTTTTATCTTCTTCTTCTTCACTTTGAGTATAAGCTTTTCCTTTTCCAGCTACTTTATCATTGTGGAAATGTGTTTTTTTGCAAAAATTTGTAACCTGGTCCTTTTTACTTCATAGGCAGGGTAAATTGGGCAGCTTAGGGGGCAAACAGGTCTAATGTCTTACTTCAATTTTGAAGGGATTTTTAAATATAAAATTATTTAACCCATGCAAAATATAACTTCATGAGAGCGTGTTTTACAGAGATAACACTGTAAATAACCTAGATCTGGTATTTTGTTACAAATACTAATCAGCAGAGTTGGAATAACTATTTTTTTATGTCTTGTAAAATTGTTTTATTTAACTTAACTTCCTATTTTATTTGCTATTTTTAAATTTTTACACCTCTTTTACGGCTTTTATAGAGGTTATATAAAAAACGGTTGAATCTAACTTACAATTAACAATACATCTATTAAAACAATTAAATAACGTATACTTAAAATTTATATTGAGGTCTTGTACATTAAATAACAGTGCTCACATTCAAAAAACTGACAACGAAATAAAATAATTTTGTTATGGATTTTTAAATATTGCTGTTTATTTCCCGATGGCGACGTCATAAATCATGGTGATGGCTGGTTATACATAATTTTCCCTCTACTTTCAAATATTGTTAATAAAAAATTCTTAACTTTACTGGTTTTTGAGATCACAGTGGTGGACTTTTTACCCGCGGACCTGCGGCCCTGCTCAACCCTATTTATAATAATCTATTTGAATATATTCAAAACAATTGTTATAATTACTAATCAATTTTTATTTATTAGTAACTTATAATTATGATTTTAGCTTTCAAAATTTACTTATTTTTGCGATTAAAAATATTAATTAATATATAATAAATATAGCTGAATGCTTTATAGCTATGAAAAATAAATACAAAAAAAAAAAAAAAAAATTAAGAAACAAAAACTAAAAAGTCTAAAGATTTCATCTTGAATAAATTTGCTAATTACAGTTTTAACAACAGAAAAATAACAAATTTTTGTTTAATGTTGATTGAATTTTATATTAATGTATTTTCATTACTTTCAGGTGGTGCATGGTGTATTTCTCGAACCAGAACACGTTGTAAGAAAAAGGAGTATAGATAGACCACTTAGAATAGTCTTGGTTTATGATGATTCAGTATACAGGTGAGGCGTTATAATAAAATTCTATTATGAGATTGCAATTTTACTGCATGATAATATATAATTTAATATCATATCAAAATTGTGTATATAAGAAAGTTGAATTAATTTCAGTTGAATAGCAACATGTACAATTATCAGATTTTTGCTACACTTTTTTATTATTTAATGGTTTTGAAACTTAACATATATATAAATATATATTAGAAACTGTGTTTCTGAGGCGGTCTGAATTAAATTTTGATTTGACTTTAAAACAAATGTACTATAAACAAATCGTCTACTGGATTAATGATTAATTTTCATGCTAGAGGGATGATAGGAGTGAAAATTTAAATACCTACCTGACCAAGTAGGTTTTTGGTACCAGTTAGTGAGGATGCGGTTGTCTGTGCTTTTAATGATTTTGATATCCAAGAAGCTGATAGAGTTATTTTGTTCTTTTTCGAAAGTGAACTGAATATGTTTGTTAAACGAATTGAATGAGTGGAGCAATAAGTAATTGCGTAATTTTAAAGCTTATTTTGAGCACTATAAAACCCCATTATCATATTTAGCCTAATATTGTTCCTAGAAAAATTTATAGAGCACCGATTTATTAGGATTTTAATTGATATAATTTTGTTCATTACATGATTTTCGTTTAAATGTATATTTCTAGAAATATTTGCAAAAAACGTTAAAAAACGCAAAAAACAACAAATTTTTAGTACGCAGTAACTTGAAAAGTAATTTTTTTTTGAAAAACATTATTAAACATTTTTCTCTTCTAATTAGTTTTTTTATCGATATCCGACGTTAGTTAGAAAGAGATATAATTGCACCACTGAAAAGGGATGTCATCCTCCCGTGAAGTGGCAAATGATTCTAAATTATTTTTTCTTTTAAACTTGAGAGTAAGATGAACCTAATTTCAAAATTTCATGTAAATTGGAGCACATTAAAAATATTCAGACCCAAAATGCTCCATTGTCTTTGGTAAATATTTCGTATCCAATGCCAAACATATGAATTTTTGACACAATGAAACTTCTAAATAATTGTTTGAATAAGTAAATTATTTTTGTATCGTGATTTAGTAAAGTAAAGCAAAACACGACTGCATTTAATAGTTAAAAAATAATAATCAGTCAAAGTGAATTATAGGCTAAGTTTGATGTGCGATCACTGACAGACGCATGCGCAGACTGCATCACCTGTCAGATGTTGACTGTAAATCTCTTATTATTTCAATTTTGGCACATCTCAGCTGCTTTTTGGCAATAATAATGTAGTCATTACATTTTTCTTATTCATAATCATAAATATATTATATTTTAATATTGTCTTAGCCTATAAGTGAATGAAATGTTTGGCAAATGACAGTCTTCATTTGTTTTAATGTCAAACCATGCCTTAAATATTTTCAAGAACAAACAATGATAAGCGTTTTTTTGTAATTTTTTCCATTTATTTCTACAATCTAACTATATTTCTATGAATCGAAAAATTCTAGAAAATTTCCCGAACAAACTTCAGGTAGATTCATGAAAATCCGAATTATAGTTTTGGAGGATTAACCATTCATACATAGTTACAGAAGAATTTTATATATAAGATATATATTGAAGTTGATGAAAATGAGCTTTATAGTTTCTAATACAAAATCTAAAAAGCGTTTCTCTGTATTATACAAACAAACAGAATCACGCTATAACATATATATGAATACATTTATGGTGAAATTTAAAAAGCATTGTATTATGTTGCAGTAGCTGAGCAAGTCTTATTAACTAAAACTTTATATTTAATATAATATATTCTCAATCTCCAATAAATGAAAAGAATAAAACTGTAAAAAAGATAATATCTGAAGAATAGAGCAAGTTTTATTACACTTTTAATCTTATATGACTACACTTATCAAATTTTTGATTAGTTCTTGATTAACACTTGTTAAGAAATAAAATAAATGAGTGAATGAACTGCATATTTGAATCTTAGAAGAATTGTTCAGTTAGAATCCAAATCATATTGATTATAATAGACAAATGCAAAAAACATAAAAGAAACCTAAAATCAAACATAATCTTAGAAATTGGGAATACGGTATATTGCAAGACACGCGGTATCCTCACAGATGAATATTAACTATGTGAATATAATTTTAAACGATGCAGATATTTTATTTAAAAACTGTCACACTATACATCATTTATGTTCGATTGAATTCTGGTTTCACAAAAACATTATTTTGTTCAAATGGCACAGCAATCCAACTATTCAATTCGATATATCTTCTTCTTTGTAGCGGACAGGCAATATAGTCACATTAATTAAATTGGAGATCTAACATTGGCAACGCGAAGAACCAAAAATATCTTAAATTATAAGATTTATATTGATTTATAAAAAAAAAACGCATTATTGTTCTTGATATCAAAGTATTTATTTGCAATCTCTAGTTTACTTCTCGTGAATTGAAATTGATAATAATGTTCGCATATCTTTACATTTCAAAGGCATTTTTTGGCCAAAATTTCTTTTTTTTCAATTTACATGAAATAATATTTTTTGAATATCTAAAATAATTTGGATTTTAATTTTAATTTTAGCTCAAATTTTAAAGCTCACATATATACTTTAAATGAATAATTTTACCTCTGCAATTTAGTTTATTAGTGCAGTAAATGAAGAGGAAAAAATGGTGTAACCTGTTATTTTTTTACTGTGCTCCAAATTGCATGAAATTTTGGAAATAGGCTAATCTTACCCTTAAGTTCAAAAGTGAACAGTTTAGACTCCGCCGCCACCACTAGAAGGGGTGGGAGGGTAATTTTATATTTACCTTGTATTTCTAGCCATTTTATCGCTAGAAAACGTTTTTAATATTAAAGGATACAATTGTAAAGTATTTTTTAATACATTTACCTTGCAATAAAATCATTTTCAATCCCGTGGAAATACCTAAAAACTTTTAAACGGCCTCTAAATTGGAAAAAACACTTAAGAATTAATTTCGGCGTGATATAATAAGAATTACGTATAAAGTTAATAATATTTTATATTTTCTATCTTGATTATCAAGTTTTTAATTTTTTTAGACCCTTAAGAACAATCATGCTAACTGTCTGCACACCGTGTACAAAATTCTGTACCATGAAGATATATAGATTTCATTATCAACGTAATATTACAAAATTTTGTGGTACACACACATACACATTAGAGCGGGTCGATTTGTATGGGTCAAAAAAAGTCGCTTAGGTAGGCACACATGATAAGGGTCGAAATTTGAAAAAGTCCATTTAGAGTGCCCCAATCGCGTCCAAATGTATGACCGACCCCCACTAACTGTGGAAAGCCGATTCACCCATGCCCCTGGTTCATCCACTGGGACCTTCCCTGAGCGGTTTTACAACATTCAACCCTTATTTTTGGGTCAACGTACGGGACATCAGAATTCATTTCATGCAAAAAATCTTATTTTGATCCCTAGTATCCGAAAATCATATGTGCTTAAGTGACCTTTAAATCGATCCGCCATACATCAATTTTTTCTAAGGTATGCCAAAATGTTCAAAATTTTCTGAAACTCTAAGATATATAAAAATTTTCATTTTCCATTTTTGCTATCGTACACACATTTCGCTTCAATTAAGTTATTGAAGCAACGCAATTAAATTATTGAGATTGAAAAATATGTATTGTGTGGATAATTATGTACTATTTTCTCATTAATTAAGTTCGAAGAATTTTCCGAAATTTTAATTATTACTGATACTTAGTATGAAAATGGATATGATTGATTTTACTAAATTGGTAATTTTTGTTTTAGGTTGGACACTGAGAAGTTTGACTTAATAAATGTAAGTAAAAATAAAATATTTACATCTATATATAAGGCTGTTAAGTACGTCCCGAGACAGGATAGTTACATCTATAAGGCTGTTAGGTATATCCCTGGACAGGTTTTCGGATATTTCGATTGAAACCAAGTGGTAGGGGTTTTGATGCCACGAAGACTTTTTTTTTGTTTTTTCGATCAATTTTAATTTTTAACTTCCCGAAGGAGAAATTTATGTTTTTATCAAAAAATTCGATTCGCTAATTTTATGCTTTCTCGACGTTTCAAGCCATTCTGAATCGAATGAGACCAAATTTGGAATAAGTATGTGTGTGGGTATGTCTATATGAACAGATTTTTTATTGTAAATCGACGTTTTCTCAAAAATGGCTGGACCTATTTCAAAAATTTAAAAGCCATTCGATGTATCTGGATGAGGAGGAATTTTCCAATTTTGTGAGACGATCGGCCGAGCCGTTTCTTTGTAATTCGCAGAAAAGTGAAAAAAAAATTTCACGTTTTAGCCCGCAATTCTGAATCGATTTTAAAAATTGTTCGTAAAATATTAGTTGGGAATGATACTGATTAGTTTTAGGTGAAAATCTACCGAGCCGTTTTCTTGTAATTAACTGTTTAAAAAAAAATAAGCTGATTTTTATGGAAGATTTTGGCAATATATATCATGGTCTTATCGAACTTACTAAAATTTTGATATTTTTAGTTTGGTTTTAAGATTTGGTTTATATTCATGAGGTACTATCTGCGGTATATGTTAACTTCTATCTGCAGCAATCACAACGAGTCCGTTGACATCTTTTATAATCACCAAGATAATTTTTTTCTCGTCTTCCAACTCGTCAAAGATCGAATTTGGGTTGTAGTCCTGCGCTATGAGCATTCTTTGATTCCCACTGATATGCTTTCAATCTTGTGCTCATTATTCTCTCTATACTCATATTCAACAACTTTTTACTGTTCTATACCTTGCCAGAATTGCTTTTACTATTTTGGACTTGCCACTTTCGGAATGAAGGCTGCAAAACTTCTCTATGCGGATTTACCTTTGATGTTCTTTAACTTATTTTAAGGTCAAATCGACCGCATTTCAATTTCAACTTTCGGTGGAGATCTGAATGGGATGTACTTCTTGTAGATTATATTATATAAAATGTTAATCATCATTTTGGCCCATGGACAGGACAATTTTCGTATTCTTCGAACCCCGTTTTCCTGCTGAAATGCATCCTGATATTTAGACTATGCTGTGTACCTGTGGACATTCATTACTCATTGGTTATTCGTATACCTACCTTTTCAGATTGTCGGCAAACCGTAGCATTTTGTTGAAATATTATTTATGATAGTTGTTTTCTGGCACCTGGACGCTGCCAATCAAAAACAAATGTGATACATGATTCGTACGAGCCCGTTTGATCAACATTATAATTAACTTCTTGTAGGGTAAGTTATTGTAATGGGCCGAAAATCGAAAATGAAAATTTTTGCATCTCTCGACGTTTTGAAGGTTTCTGAACATTTTGGCATACCTCAGAAATAATGGATGTGTGTGTATGTATGTATGTATGGATACAATTTTTCGGTCACGTTTTCGGGCACACGGATCAACCGATTTAAATGGTTAAAAAAACATTCGATTCCTATTGATAGGGAGATGTTCTGATTAGTTTTGGCAAGGGCAGGTCCAGCAGTTACGGAGATAAAGAGCAAAGAGTGCAGAAAATAGAAATCGAGTTTTTGAGAGAACGGAGCATCCGATTTGAATGATCTAAAAAACATTCAATTAGTAATAATTGGGAGAAGTGTTTGGGTAAAGGCAGGCCCAGCCATTTCGAAGATACGGAGCTAAATGTGCAAAAAACGGCAGTTTTTGAGAGAACTAAGCGTCCGATTTAAATGATTCAAAAAACTTTCTGCTTGTCTTAACAAAATAATTGATTTTGCAAAAAAAAATTTTGTTTAAATTTTTTTTTCAATTTTTTTTTCCAAAAAAAAAATTCTTTGTATATCCAAATTAATTCAGATTTTATTTTTAATTCTGACTATAGTTCTAATATACTTTAAACAAATAATTTCAACTTTGCAATTCAGTCTATATAATTCTTATAAATATCAGACAATGTTACAATATTTATTATAATCTATTTCAAACCTTCAGTATTCCTCGAACATTTCGTTACGGTACGGGAAGTTCCAGCAATTTGCCTTAAGGTACGATGCCATACGTCGTAGTTTAAGTCGTTTTTTTTAGTTGCCCAATTCATTTAATATTTTTGATACTAATATATGTATTAAATATAAATAAATACCACTAAGAAATAAAATATTATTTATATGTTTTCAGAATACAATATTGCCAGAAGCGGTGCAGTTTTGGCAAAATGCTCTTATGGTTCGTGAAACAAAGGGTGTTATTAGATTAAACAGGTATGAATTTAAACTATATATTATATGTTACTGTAAATAGTAATTTTACATAAAAATGTTGCTTAATATTTTGAATTGATGTTTAATTTTTTTTATTATCTTTAACACTTTACCAATGGCAGTATGAATTGAAGAAACATCTATAATTGCATTGTTTTTAACTTCCCGTAGGGCAAGTTATAGTAATCGCAAAAAAATCGAAAATGAAAATTTTTATATATCTTTACGTTTCAGAGGTTTCTGAACATTTTGGCATACCTTAGAAAAAATGGATGTATGTGTGTGTGTGTGTATGTATGTGTGTGTATGTATGTGCGGATACAAATTTTCGTCGACGATTTCGGGAACACGGGTCAACCGATTTGAATAATTCAAAAAACATTCGATTCGTATTGATAAGGAGACGTGCTGATTAGTTTTTGGCGAAGGCAGGTCTAGCCGTTCCAAAGATACGGGGCACAAAGTGCAGAAAACGGTAGCTCAGTTTTTGAGAGAACGGAGCGTCCGATTTGAATAACTCAAAAAACATTTCACTTCTATTGACAAGATGAAGAATCGATAAAATTTTCATGAAGGTAGGTCTAGCGGATTCGGAGATATGGAGGAAAAAGTAAAAAAATGAGCCATTTGGCGGTCAAAAATGATCATTAGACATATGCTCATAAAATTATCAGATATTTTATAGAGATTTTAACAATAAGTATACAATTTGTTAACATTCATATGGGTTCCGTACCAATGCTTATGCTTTAGACAGCGACGCGGCGCTTACGCGCTTTATATTTTGTCCCTATGCAGTTAAAGCAGTACGATTGATTGCTTTGAAAAGAAAGTTCAGATCTTCCACAATATGTCAAAATAAAAAAAAAAAAATTTTCAAAAAAAAGTAATTTTTTTTCCAATTTATAGTTTCTCAAAAATCTTATTTTTTCAAAGTAATTTTTTTTTCAAAAATGTTAATCGTTTTTAAAAAAATAATAATTTTTGGTACGGGAAGTTCCAGCAATTTGCCTTAAGGCACGATTCCTTAATTGCCTTAAGACAGAATTCCACTTACAGCTAGTTGCAAATGTGACGGTCGGAACTTCTCGTAATAATCAATTCATTCTTAAATCAGTTTTCAATATTTTGAATAATACTTAATGTAAACCGTTATCTACCACGCCCGGTTATTTGAACAAGAGCTTTTTTTCTGTTTTATAAGTTTTTATTCTGCTTTATTTCTGCAAAGATCGTTGTGTGAAGATCAAATTGATCGAAATTTTAGACAGTACAGAGCTTTGAGTAAACATTTATTTAGGAACAAATTAACAACTGATTTTATTGGGAAAGTAGCTTTTTACTCAAAATATGTCGTGAAAAATAAGGCCGTTCAAGCTTTTTGAAGATATAAATAATAAGACGATTACAATAATAAATATGATATTACTATAATCGTAAAAAAACCGAAAGTGAAAATTTTTGCATATTTTCACGATTCAGAGGTTTCTGAACATTTTGGCATACCTCATAAAAAATGATGTATGTGGGTTTTTTTTGTATAGAAATTCTGAACTTCCAAAATATTTTTTTAATATCAAAAATGATTCGGATTTTAATTTTGGTTCTAAAATTTTAAATTTCCATGCACGACTAGTTTTATCTTTACGCTGTTTCGTTTTATTTTTAATTTACTGTATTTTTATATTATTTGTAAATAGACCTACAGTTAAGATTAATGAAATAAATTGTTACAATCGATTGTTTTGTGATTACTATAACCTATCTGACAGGATGTTAATAGCTATTACCAATCATTGATTGATTTTTATTAATTGCTGATTATTTTTATTTTTCGAATATTTAATTATGGTAGGGGAAGTTCCACAATTTGTGTTAAGGCGCGATACCAGACACTTCGAGTTTAATTAATTTTTGGACACAATATTATTAAAAAGTTCATAGTAACTATATATAAATATTAATAGTGATGGTAAATCTATTAATTGTTTTCAGGAAATGTATATCTAGTCAAGTTTTCGTGAAGGGTTCACATACGCATTGCATATCTGCTTGTCGACCTGTGACAATGTGTGGTGAAGTTCGAGTTCCTGAAGATCACCTGGACGTAAGTTAGTATATCTGTCGCAATTATATTTTCTACTAACGATTTATTATTGCTAAGTATATTGTTTGAATAATTTATGCTACGTATATTTTTTCAAAAAAAAATCCATAATTAAATTTCTCGAAGACTCTGCATTTCAAAATATACTGATTATATTGATATAGATTTTAAAAATAGATAAGTATACATCTATGTAAATATTTATATGTATGTTTTTATAAATTTAATTCATTTTCAATAACATTTTTTTACATTTAGATAAATAGAACTCAATCGTGACGTATCAAAAGCACGACGAAGCTTTTGTTTTTTTGAAAATAGGAGGCCAAGCAACGTGTTGTTCAAAAAGTATTAATTTCGTAATAGGCGTTATTAACTTAACTTTTTAAAGCTTTTTGAACATATTGTAAATAATATATATATATATATATATATATATACATTGGTAAAATAATCAAATCAAATAATTTGATATTGTTTGAACTGTCAACTTCAAAGTGAATCGAATTTATTTCTTAATTTTAATACTTTAATTACTGGCACATCTTATGGGGCAATTCTGCCGTAACAGAGCTCATAAAATAGCATTGTAATGACAACGCTCTCGTATGCTTGTTCTTGGTATTGAAAATTATAAAACTGTTTATCCATTTGCCGTGCGATCAGGCGTATTTTACATATAAACAAGCGAGGAAGAATCTTATGATAATGGCACCATCTAGAATTCTGTTATCATACATTGATTGCTTCTTTATATGTATATTCGTATATGTATATGTATATGTAAAACACGCCTGATCGCACAGCAAACTAGTTGGGTGTATGGCATCGTGCCTTAAGGCAAATTGCTGGAACTTTTCGTACCGTAACGAAATGTTCGAGGAATATTAAATGTTTTCAAATAGATTATTATTAATATTATAACATTGTCTAATATTTATAAGAATTATATAAACTGAATTGCAAAGTTGAAATTATTTGTTCAAAGTATATTAGAACTTTAGTCAGAAGAATCTGAATTATTTTCGATATACAAAAAAAAATTTTTTTGGAAAAAAAAAGTTGAAACAAAATTTTTTTTTCCAAAATCAATTATTTTGTTAAGACAAGCAGAGAGTTCTTTGAATCATTTAAATCGGAGCTTAGTTCTCTCAAAATCTGCCATTTTTTACATATTTAGCTCCGTATCTCCGAAACGGCTGGACCTGCCTTTGCCAAAAACTAATCAGCTCTTCTCCCTATCAATAGGAATCGAATGTTTTTTGAACCATTCAAATCGGTTGATCCGTGCGCCCGAAAACGTGACTGGAAATTTGTATCCATACATACATACACACACACACATCCATTTTTTTCTGAGGTATGCCAAAATGTTCAGAAACCTTCAAAACATCGAGAAATGTAAAAATTTTCAATTTCGATTTTGGGCCCATTTCAATAACTTAAGTTAATAAATAGACATTTTCAAAAATTTTAATACCAAGAACGAGAACGAGAGCGTTGCAATGAAAACGGTATTTTATGAGCTCTGTTTACGGCAGAATTGCCCCATTTGTTTGTTTTTGTGAACAATTTTTTTTTTAGCGTTATCAAACATAACTTTTAGTACGTTTTCATAGCATTGGAAAGTGTTTAGTGATTAAATGCCTGAAAAATGAGACATTTATCCATTTGTTCAAACCAATCGAGACATAATGCTTTTATGCATTATTTTCATTACATAATTGTAATTCAGAATTATATTTATTAACTTCCCGTAGGGTAAGTTATAGTAATCGCAAAAAAATCGAAAATGAAAATTTTTATATATCTTTACGTTTCAGAGGTTTCTGAACATTTTGGCATACCTTAGAAAAAATGGATGTATGTGTGTGTGTGTGTATGTATGTGTGTGTATGTATGTGCGGATACAAATTTTCGTCGACGATTTCGGGAACACGGATCAACCGATTTGAATAATTCAAAAAACATTCGATTTGTACTGATAAGGAGACGTGCTGATTAGTTTTTGGCGAAGTTAGGTCTAGCCGTTCCGAAGATACGGGGCAAAAAATGCCGAAAACGGTAACACAGTTTTTAAGAGATTTTGAATTTGAATAATTCAAAAAACATTTTACATGTATTGGCAAGATGAAGAGTTGATCAAATTTTCATGAAGGCAGGCCTAGCGGTTTCGGAGATCTAATGAAAAAAGTAAAAAAAAAATGCCATTTGGCGGTCAAAAATGATCATTAGACATATGCACATCAAATTATCAGATATTGTATAGAAATTTTAACAATAAGTATAATTTTTTTTACATTTCTATGGGTTCCGTACCAATGTTTATGCGTTAGACGGCGGCGCGGCACTTGCGCTGTGACAATTCGTCTCTATGCAGTTCAGCAGTACGATTGCTTTGAAAAAAAGTTCAGAATTTCCAAAATATGTCAAAATGAAGAAAAACATTTTTCTTTTCAAAAAATAGTTTGTTTTCAAAAAAAAAAAAATTCTTTCAAAAAAAAAATTTTTTTTTTCAAGTAAAAATTTTTTTTTCAAAAAAAAGTAATTTTTGTCATATTCCTAGTTTCTCAAAAATCTAATTATTTCGAAGTAAATTTTTTTCAAAAATGTTAATCTTTTAAAAAAATAATAATTTTTGGTACGGGAAGTTCAGCAATTTGCCTTAAGGCACGATGCCCTAATTGCCTTAAGACAGAATTCCACTTACAGCTAGTTAAAATTATATCTATTTTTTTTTTATTCAGGTTTGTCGAACTTGCGATGTGAATGGCATAGATTGCGGCGTTGAACCCGGATCAAAACTCGGAAATGGAATACAAGATGCCGATTTCGTATTTTACGTTTCCGCAATGCAAACTGAACGATGCTACAAGGGTCTGACCGTAGCTTATGCAGCGCATTGTCAGCAAGAAGCGGCGCTTGATAGGTACGAAAAATTTTTATGCATGTTTTTTTCTCAGGTTAGAACCAATATTGGGTATCTATTTTTTAATAATTCTCTTCATATTGGTATTGAAAATGAAACTGAAGTGAAACGAATGTCTACGAACATCTGGTTAAATTAAGAATTTGCTTATGAAGAATGAATTTTATTTGCTTGAGGTACATTACTAAAGATGTGAAAATTCTGGAGGTACTTTATATTTTGTTTGTATTTATTTTATCTAACTTACAATTAGATTTCAGCAAACAATTAGTTATAATATAAAAATTGGTAAATAATCAAATCAAATAATTTGATATTATTTAAACTGTCAACTTCAAAATGAATCTAATTAGATTTTTTTTATTAATATTAATCTATTATGAACGAGCGCATTTTTTAAAACTATGCCGTAGGTCGACGGAAGAATTTAGGAGCTCCATTTCCAGGGCGATGGAAGCAAATCATATCAAAATCGGCCCGACGTGAATGTGTTAATATTGCTTTATTAGTTTTGAATAGAATGGAATTCTACTAATATTCCTTGTTGAGCAATATATAAATTTATTTTCTAAAGGCATTTGGCCAATATTGAAAATTAAGAAAGAAAGCTCAATTTTTTTCTAAAAACGTCATGATTACGCGTATTAAAATATTTACAATATAGCGAGTATGGCGACATTCATTTGCTAAGGGCTAAAAGTCTTCGTATTTTATCCAATATATCGTTTTATACTATCAACAATCATTTCGAATTTTACCTAAAAATAATATTTTTTTTACCGATCTTGATTTGTGATAATGGATATGATTAAATGTTTCATTAATACATTCGGGTGAATTTCATAAAAATTCTAAAAATTCCTACGAGCTGGTATCGTGCTAAGATCTAAGTGGTTAATGAACATATTGTGGCCAGGTAGTATCAATCCTAGTGTACACCACCCTTACTCTTAATCTGGTTTCTTGGGGCCCAACAGGAACAGTTTTTTAAGGTTCAGCCATTAAGAGTTTTTCAGTCAAGTGGTGGATACGTTTTCCCATGGGCGACCACCTTATGATACTTTAGTGTTAGTTGTGAGTGTGTTGTGCTACAAGAAGACAGGTCCAGCTTAAGGCCAGATCACATATTATTAACTATAGCTAAAATATTATCCCCCATATTTCCACAATAGCGTACTCGTCACAATATGTTGAAAACCTATTACGGCTCCCAAATTATAATTTTAGCACCTTCTTAATATATATTTAATAATGTTTATCACAATAATTAGTAATATATTTATTTGCATTGCAGGCCGATTGCTGGGCACGCCAACTTATGCCCGGAAAGTATCAGTACTAAACCCCAGGAATTGGCAACGCTTTTGTCTACAGTGAAACATGAAATTCTGCACGCATTGGGTTTCTCTGTGAGTTTATATGCGTTTTTTCGGGACGAATTTGGCCGACCACGTACTCCACGTAAAACTGATACTGGAAAACCATATCTGAATGAGAAGTAAATTTATGTTTTAATTTATATGTTTAGTGAAAATATTGTTGTAAATCTAGCACTCTAGAATAAAATTTCACTTTCTTGATTTTTACACTCAGAAAGCTAGAGTGACAATGAAGAATTATGAAAGTTCTTTCATAATTCATATGACACTTCAAAATCTTCTTAAAAAAATGAATTCATAAATCATACATCTAATCTAATACAGCTCAACCATTAATCACAATACATGCGTTATTATTTATCTTGATAACTATTGTTAGATGTAACAGGATCTCATTTTAATTTAGATTTTCATTTATAGGTATAACACAACAATGCGTAATCGGGTATAGATAGTTTTATAATAAAAATGCAAATAGAGATTTTGCGTTTCCAATGGAAAAGTTTGTGTACATGCGAAAACATGATATTAGCTATTTTTATATATATTTGACACCAAAATTAGAAGTAGTTTGTGTATCGATTTCTAAAATTGTAATGCCATGCAATGAAACTCGACATGTACTCGTCCGGTTTAGTTTCCCGTGGCAATCGGCGGAGGCGTTACTTCATAATTACCCAGTAACTGTAAAAAAATTGTCCATGTTTCAACAAAAAATTTTGGTGGAGATCTGTTGCTTTCTAGGGCTCAGGAAAAGTTAATTTCATTATAAATACTAGTGGGGCGCATGGCATCGTGCCTTAAGGCAAATTGCTGGAACTTCCCGTATCAAAAATTATTATTTTTTTAAAAACGATTAAAATTTTTGAAAAAAATTTACTTAAAAAAAATTAATAATTTGAAAAACTATAAATTTGATAAAAAATTACTTTTTGTTGAAAAAAAAATTTTATTGAAAAAAAAGTTTTCTTTATTTTGACATATTTTGGAAATCCTGAACTTTTTTCAAAGCAATCGTACTGCTTTAACTGCATAAAGACGAAATATCAAAGCGCGTAAGCGCCGCGTCGCCGTCTAACGGATAAACATTGGTACGGAACCCATAGGAATCTAAACAAAATTTATACTTATTGTTAAAATCTCTATAAAATATCTGATAATTTGATGTCCATATGTCTAATGGCATTTTTTTCCTTTTTTTATTAGATCTCCGAAACCGCTAGACCTGCCTTTATGAAAATCTGAGCAGTTTTTCAACTTATCAATACAAGTAAAATGTTTTCTGAATTATTAAAATCGGACGCTCCGTTTTCTTAAAAACTGAGTTACCATTTTTGGCACTTTTTGCCCAATATCTTTGGAACGGCTAGACCTGCCTTTGCCAAAAACTAATCAGCACGTCTTCTTATCAATACGAATCGAATGCTTTTTGAATTATTCAAATCGCTTCATCCGTGTTTCCGAAATCGTCGACGAAAATTTGTATCCGAACACATACACATACACGCACACACACACATGCATACATCCATTTTTTCTAAGGTATGCCAAAATGTTCAGAACGTTTTGAAACGTATAGATATATAAAAATTTTCATTTTCGATTTTTTTGCGATTACTATAACTTGCCCTACGGGAAGTTAATTAATCAATGCTTGGAATAATGCGCTTAGCACCGCGAATAATACTTACTATTCAGCTTACAGAGGGACATTATTATAAAAAATATTATGATTTACACATATCGTTAAGCTCATATTATCATATCATATTCCTTTAGAGTAATACCTCTTACATTAAGATTTTACTGCAACAAGGTCTTTGCAAATTAAAAATATGAATAATAAAATTTATAGATACTATAAATCAATTTATAATAATCTATTTGGAAATATTTAAAACAATCATTATCAATCATCGATCAATCTCTATTGATTAGTTGTGTCTTTTTTTCCTTGAATGTTGTGCCAGCAATTTGCACAATTAGTTAATTGCTTATTTTCTTCATAGGTTGCAGATTCACCAGTGGAGCAATGAAACAATAAGGCGAATTCGAAGGCAAGGTTGGTCTGTAAGAGGAGGTACGGTTACACGTTCAGTAGATGTGATGGTTACACCGCGCGTAGTGAAGGAAGCACGAGCACATTTCGATTGTCCACAACTTGAAGGGGCAGAACTTGAAGACCAAGGCGGTGAAGGCACTGCACTCACGCATTGGGAAAAACGTATACTTGAGGTGAATTGTCGAACCTAATAATAGTGATGTAAAGAGTCTTAGTGTAATTCTATCAACACGTTGAGCACGGTATTGGTTTCTAGTGACCGACAGTCAACTTCCGTATGGCCGGCGTCGGTACCTGAGGACCGACAGTCATCTTACCCTATGGCTGGCGTCAGCCTCGAGGATCGGCAAAAGATTTTTTTCTTAACATAGCATGTGTGATCTATAGTACAAATTAAATAAGTTTTAATGTAATGCTATCAAATATAATTTTAATTAAATTTTTTGAAACATTCTAAAGAAAAATGTGTTACATGGTAAACGTTGTCAGCTGAACGGAATGGACGGAAAATGTGGCGCAGGGCTCAAAATGTCAACTTCTCGTAAGTTACAGTAACCACAAAAAATCGAAAATGAACATTTTTACATGTCTTTACGTTCTATTTTGGAATAGCTTAGATTTTTTTTTTTTAATTTCAATAATTATTACAACTGCTAATTTATTAACATCAAGTAATATTGATAAATAATAATATAAATTTAAATAAATAAAAGAGCAAAGGATAAATTTACATGAAAATAATATCCGTAATATGATTTAATGTAAAATATAAGCAAATAATAATAAAAATAAGATTAATAAATAATATAAATAAAATTTCAGAATAATAAAAGAATACTAGAAAAATAATAAAATATAACAAAATAACAATAATAGAAATAGTAAGATAATAATAATAATAATAATAATAATAATAAAATAATAATAGTAATAATAATAATAATAATAACAATAATAATAACAATAATAATAATAATAATAATAATAATAATAATAATAATTTACAAATTTATAAGATCGTTTGGAATTTTTCGTTTTAGTCTTGTTGGGCGCGCTTCTGAGTATACTTTGTTGACCAAGTAATTTGGGTGTTCGTCTATTCTTTTTTTGTAGTTGATTGTTTTTTGTTGAATTTCTTCATTTACTGTCATTATGTTGCTGTCCTGGTGAATCAGCCAGTTGGGAACGTACCTAGGTGCATTCAGTGCCTGCCTTATGATCTTGTTCTGCACTCGTTGAATAATCTGTAGATTGTTTTTTTTGGCGGTGCCCCATAGTTGAATCCCATAAGACCACACTGGTTTAAAAATATATTTATAAATAATTAACCTGTTATTTGTCGATAGTTCGGAACGTTTAGGCATAGCTTAGATAAAATAAATGTATGTGTGTGTGCAGGTGTATGTGCGGATACTAAATTTTATCGACAACTTCGGGAATGATTCGAAAAATATTTTGCTTGTGTTGATGGTGCATATAGGTGAAAGCTCCTGAATTAAAAAAAATCGTAAACAGACACGTAAGTTGTTTATAGGATACGCCCAATTTAATAAGTACTTATTAATTTACAGTATTTACAATAATAGGTTTGTAAATATTTGAAACAATTTTCGAATAAGTTAATTATTGAATCATTTTTATTGAATATTAATAATTTTTATTTCTCGAGTTCTAGAAATTTGCGTTAAAGCCTAATGCCATGCAATACTAGTTTTCATTTTATTCTGAAATTTAGAGCACATGGCAGGTACATTATTAAGTAGGTAGATTTAAGAACTTTTGAGAGAGTTTTAAATTTAATTTTTTGGAACTGCTAACTAAGTAAGTGTGGATTTTTTTTAGAAAATCAAAGACAATTTTTTAAATAACTTTATTCTGTAATGCATTTGCTATTTTGTTTAATGATTTTTTGACATCTTTCAAGAAGTATCATTATCTCACCTTCACAAAACTTCTGGTTATTAGCAAGAAACTGAATCAGGTACAATTTGACACAAATAATTCGAAACAAAATATAATCAGAAGGTGTAAGGTCAGAACTATGTGGCGCTGCCACTGTAGCGGATGTAGCATAACATTATTTATTTATTAGTATTTCACATCCGGATTACGTATTAAAACTAAAACTCAACTGAAACCACCATATAAGCTTGAAACCGCACTTACTTAGTTGCCAACTGATGATTACAATAGCGCTTAAATTCTACATTTTGAGAATCAAGTTTTAAGCTCAAATATTCTTCTTCACCATAATAGTTTATTGACAAAGATTTCGAGGATCGATAGCTATGCTTGATAAATTATTATTACAACTATACTATATTCTTAATTATAGAATGAAGCAATGACGGGAACTCATACCCAAAGTCCTGTATTTTCGAGAATTACGTTGGCTTTGATGGAGGATAGCGGTTGGTATAGAGCCGATTACTCGTATGCAGAACCTCTGAGTTGGGGACGAGGACTCGGCTGCGACTTTGTAATGAAGAGCTGTAAAGATTGGATTAACACTAAATTAGCAAGGTAAGAAATACCTGTCTAGCATGATGTGTATTTTTTAATATAATAATTGTGGATTGTATAGGTATTATGTACGCATATTAACACAATGTGACAATACTCTTAAACTAGTTGAAAGTGCATTTAGTCTTAAGGCAAGTTGCAAGAACTTCCCGAAATGTGTAAAAAATTACTTAATTAATTCTTTAGAAGAAGCAATTTGATCTATCTTTTACAATATTTTTTTATTCTATAAATTATTCAGAAATAAACATTAAATTAAAATAAACTAAATGAAAAAAAAATTAAAAAAGGTGAAAAAATTTTAACGAGTGCATTGTGTTTGTATGTAATTGTATAGATATGGAAACTCGAAGAGTTTTTAGTTTTGTCATTGGTTGAAAGAGTGAGATAGATAAACATTAGTGGCGCTTTGGCCGGCGGAAAAATTTCGAAGTAGAGACATTGAAAATATAGCTTGTGGATTTAAGCTGTAATCATTAAGCAAAATATTTTTTTTTAACTAATAATTACAAGGCTCGGTAGATTTTCATCTAAAATTAATCAGCATCATTTCCAACTAATATCTTTCGAACAGTTTTTGATTTATTAAAATCGATTCGGTAGAATGAGCTTAAATGTGAACGAAAAGTTCAACACTTTTTTCCAAATTACAAAGAAACGGCACAAAACTGACAAACGAAAATCCTCATCGAGATACATCAAATGGCTTTTAAATTTCTGAAATCGGTTCAGGCGTTCTCGAGCAAACGTCGATGAAAGGTCTAATTTTGACAAATGCCGAAAAAACGACACTAATTTTTGCAAATTTTGAGAACTTTTAAAATTAAACGACTTGTCGTAGGGCCGTAATATTTTAGTATAATCTATAAGACTATGGTATCTACCGTCAAAAAAAAAATTACAAAAATCATCGAAAAAAATTGTTTAACACTTTATTACAAGAAAACGGCCCGGTCGATCTCTACCAAAAACTAATCAGCACGATTCCCAACCAATATCTTTCGAACGGTTTTATGAATTTTCAAAATCGATTCAGAATTGCGGGCTAAAACATGGACGAACAATGTTTCACTTTTCTGCTATTTACAAAGAAACGGCTTGGCCGATCGCCGCACAAAACTGAGATACATCGAATGGCTTTTAAATGTTTGAAATCGGTCCAGCCGTTTTTGAGAAAACGTCGATTTACGGCAAAAAATCTGTTCACACACACACACATACTTTTTCCAAATTTGGTCTCATTCGATTCAGAATGGCTTGAAACGCCGAGAAAACATAAAATTAGCAAATCGAATTTTTTGATGAAAACATAAACTTTTCCTTCGGGAAGTTAAAACTAATATCAATAAATTTTCTGACTTTTTTCTTATTATGTATTTGATAAATAGTGTCGCACGTTTTACAAAAATTGTTGAATCTTATTTTACAAAACAGTTCCATCGTACAGTCTCCAAACCTTGTATCCAACACACCAGTTATTTTTTCTCTCTAATAGAACAGAACGCTTAACAGAATGTTTCAATTATTCTTATTGTTCTTGTTGAAATTGGTGAGGATTTCTCTCATAATGTGAAAGAGCGCTAAACAAAAACTTATGCAAATGCTAAGCAGGTTGAAACTTCCAATCGATAGCTGTTGATAATGTAATTTTAAAAAATCGTAAATCTATTTTAATTATTATACAGAGTATGGGCGCATCGCCATACAGAATCGGCCCTAACTTGGTGTTTAAATAATTTATACGCCATTTTATAGGTCTCTTTGATAAAAACCGATATACCAATTTTGTTGTTATTCTTATTTAATTAATTAATATTATATTATTAATAATTAATTATTATTATTTTGGTGTTGTTATTCAGTTTTTTGTAAGATTCCGTCAACCGTTTAATCGTTTTCCGATTCTAAAAAATAAAAAGTGTTTAATAATTTGCGATTTTGCAGGATTAATCTAACAATAACGTGGCATAAAATTCAATAGTAGTCTAGTAGAATAAATAATCTAATCTTGCATAAAAATAGAAAAAAATGAATATACTTAAGCGGCAAGAAACTGAATTATCACTTTATGCCGCATATTGTTTTTTAGTATTCTAAAAATATCTTGGTAAAAAAGATATGTTTTACTGTTCATTTTATGAACTGTTATCCTTGTCTGACTTTTTGTATGGCTTTCTTCATATAATTCCCAAATATCCACTGTTTATTATTATAAGTAATATCATCATTGGGACTTGCGAATTGGAAATTGCCAACATTTGAAAAGAATAATCTAGTTGTATAAAGCTATTGGAATACATGGAAAGAAATATTTTTCATCAAATTTGGTACGCAATGCAAATAGTTTCTTACTGTATGCAAATGCATTGATTACACCTTTCAAAGCATACATAATGATTGTGAACTAATTCATTCCAGTGCAGTGAATAAAATTTTAGTTTGTATTTATTGCATGTATTTGCTTAATTAATTTGTAAGCATGGAAAAATGATTTAATACAAAGCATTTTCATAAATAATCGCTATTGGGTCGCTCAAGTGAGATCTACAGGGTAGGAGGTCAAAGGTCCCATTTGACTTTCAATAATTATACTGTCTGAAGTGAAATGAATCACATTACAATAAAAAGCACGTATCAAACAAACAAGTATCGCGCTATGTTAAGTAATTTCTCAATTACTGAGCATAGCTCAATTCAATTAATTACTAATTATAAAAGTTTTTAGCTATTTTTCTGAAATGAGTTACATATCCCTTTTTACCCCATAGGCTGAGTAAAAAGGAACAGGTAATATTTAAAAAAAAATAGCTAAAAACATATTTATCCCACACTTTAGAATAGTGTTGTTAAAAATTTCTATATTTTAATTGCTTTTGTGATAATAGTGCTGAACTTTTTCACCCACGGATTTTTTAGCCCTGCTCTACTTTAAAAATAAACGTTACTCTAAAAATAATTACAACTATATTATATTATATTTAATAGTACAAAATTCAAATTGATAAAAATCCAAATTTGACATTCAAATGTAATAATTGAAATTATTTATTGGGACGTTTTTGAACTCCTCAATATCAGCGCTTCTAATTAAATTTAATTTAATTGGGTTTAATTTAGTACACGACGAAACTCTATATTAAAGAGTATGGGCGCATTGCCGTAGAGAATCGGCCCCACCCTGCTTTTTAAATAATTTATACGCCATTTTAAAGGTCGTTTTGAAAAAAAAACGATATACCAATTTTCAACTTTGTACCTCATCTTATGGCCCAGATATCATCTAAAATGTGCCAAAGTGATCCCTTATTTCAAACTCACCTTTTGGCGTGACCATAAGAGATATCGAAAAAAAAAAATCGTGGTTCTACTCATATTGGTTTAGACCACATTATGTAGAACAAGGGCGCGTTCACTATAGTTCGTAGTATTTTTGACTGTGCTCTTTGATTTGCTTTTATATTGGACGTGCTCGCACATGCCCATAGCTCGATACCGTATGTCCATATTGGTACAATTACGGCTTTATATATTAGGATCTTGTTGGCATATGACATCTTTTGTCTTCTTTCAATTAACCAGTAAAGTTCACGAAATTTTTTGTCTATTTGCTTACGCTTTGTTCTGATGTGGGTACTCCATATGAGTCCTCTATCGAGGTGAAGTCCTAAGTATTTTACAGAGTTGCTTTTTGGAATTTCTACATTGTTGATTTTTATATTTGGGCAATCTCCTTTTCTTTTGGTAAAGATGATGTGGACTGACTTAATTGAGTTAATACGGGTGTGCGACATATGTTTTTCTAAATTGGGTGTCTAAATAACTTTTCTGCACGATAATTAAAATTTTATAGTTACTGTCGTTTTCATTCAATTGACCTGTGCGACGGATTTCTGCTACGCTATATATAATTAATTCTTTTCCTAAGCTGAACTCATACTGATAATAATTGCGAACTGATATTTTCTTATCATTTAAGAAGCCAATCAATTCATCCATTTTGTGACAAATTGAAACGGGATCCTTTACAAACAGAATGCACTGATGATCGAACATCTGTGGCCTTGTGCAATTTAGTAGAACACGCCGAAGAACTTCCAAGAAAATATCAGGTAAGAATAGATCTTAGATGCATCAAATAATTTGCCTGTACTCAATATCCAAATTATTATTCATTGTTATTATAACTGCCTACACTCAATAATTAATATCATTAAGCAATACTTTTTTATCCCGCTTTTGGTCAATGCATGTTTTTTTACCGAGTTTCAGTTGAGATTTTCTTCAGCTTATAGATATGCTTCAATTTACCTCTAAAAAACAAATTATTTCTATAAATGGTCGCCCGCTCCTAACACCTTTTTGATCTGGGGCCCAATTTTCTTAATTTAATTTTGTATATTGCGGAATTTAAAAATGTAAACAACTTTAATTTAATGATCGAATATTTCACCCCGCTTTCCGTCAGTGAATGTTGTTCACTCAATTTTAATTCTAGATTTCTTCAGTTCATAGTAATGCTTATATTTTACTTAAAAACAATATTTTTAACAAAGGATTGTCCATTGCATTAAATTTTGAGATCAATTTACTTTATTTTAATTTGTATAATGCAGAATATAAAAACTGATTTTACTGAATTTCGATCAACATTATATTAAATTACTTATTTCTTCAAAAAAGTATTTTTTCATTGAGGGTTGACATATTGTCTTTTTTGTGATGGATCTTAGTTTATTTCAATTAAGTTATTCTTTAGCTCAAGGAGAAACTAAATTTTTCTACAACAATCTTAGTAAAACGTATAATTTTTTTAATGTTTTTGCGTTTTAGAACATCCAATAATTTTTGACATACCAGCAAATACATATGCTTGGGCATGTTTAAATTTTTTTGATTTGAATATTAAATCAAATAATTAATTCGTTAAATTATCTGTTTGTAAACTTTTAGATCACATTATTAGAAGATCGCTTATATTCAATAAATGTTTTATTTTGCTATTATGGCGTTTGTAAAATTTGAAATTAATAAAAGTTGAATTTATAGTAGTGATTTTTCTTCCTCCAATCAGAAAATTTCAAGTGCCTTCGATTGACCTTTTGACTAACGAATCTCGTTAATCGTTGATTTTGTATTCTGTCCCATATAAAACTAAGGATAACCCTGCAATCGCCCCAAACTTGCAGTCTGTTAAATTTTCGTATATGGTCAATTACTTTTTATTCATGCCATTTGCTCGCTTTAAGGTAATTTTGAAAAGCTATTCCCAGTCTATTTTATTCAGTAATTTATACTGAAAAACCGGTGGTTTTTTGCTCTTTCATATCTCTACCAGTTTGTATTCATCTATTTCTATATTCAAAATATTTACGAAAAATTTTCTAATGTACATCTCCAATATAATAATATTTTGTGATCTCTTCTGTCTTATTTATATCGCAGAATGCATAGTTACATAATTTTTCGGTTTCACGATGTTGACTATAATAGGTACATGAAAGTTTCAGCGTTTTTTAATCCGTTTCTGAATCTATAGAAACTGATATAAGCACATAAAAGATATATGATGAAATTTGTATATTCAGATCGATATTTAGTAAGTGTGAAAATATCAAAATATCCTAAATAAATTGATCATTTGCAGAATTTTGATGAAATTAATCACGTGGAATCAGGACGAGAAGGATTTTATGGGGGATCTGTAACATTATCTGATTATTGCCCATATATACAAGAATTTACGTGGAGAAGCAAAAATGTTATTGTGAGAGGTTCACACTGCCAATTTGAAGAAAATAATCCATGTAAGTTATACAAAAAATACAGATGTATTTTTAACAAAGAAATGTATTTATTTATACATTAGTGATTTCCATTTCAATTTTTATTTAGTGCGTGTATGTATGTATGTTTGTAAATAAATGTGTATAAATTGATTTCTACATAAAAATTTGACAGAAAATTTCGTTCCGTTTAAAAAAAAAAACTTTTTAGTATCTTTCGGAAGCGGTGCACCGATGATAGCGATCTTGCAATTTTTATTACGATTCATTTTTAGCCTCAAAATAGTTTTCAGTGTCGGCGATTACTTCTTTTTCTGTCGGGCTTTTTTCTTGGGGTCTGCGAACAGGAAATAGTTGTTCCGAGGTATATTTGCAGATTACGGTGGATGGGAAACCAATTCGAAACCCAATTCGATAATTTTTCCCATTGTTCTGAATTCTTTGGATCATAATGCAATGCTTTGATGATACAGCATTTTTTTCTTCAAATGAGACTATTTTTTCGCGATTTTGATCTCAAGACGCTCCAATAACTCGATATAATAGTCGCAGTTGATGGTTTTTCCTTTCTCAAGATAGAATGAATATTATTCCTTATGAATCCCAAAAAAACTGATGCCATATCCTAAATACCAGCTGATCGTTTACGTTTTTCCTCGTTCCACGTGTCCAGTCAATTCGGCTGTCTGTTTATTACACTCCGGAGTATAGTTATGAAGCCAGATTAAACCCATGATAATATCACAAATTAGTTTGTCATTTCTATTATTTCATTCTTGAATTACTTTTACCTTTACTTTTTATTCCATTTTATTACAACAACCACTAATGAGAGGCGTTGTAGGTGACTTATTCTTTAGTTTATATTCACATATATTCACAACTTATGCTAAACATTTCTTATTTTAAGCTTAATTATATTTCACGGTGCAGCCAGTGTTCAAACATGTCCATACTTCGGGCACGATTCACATCACACACTAATTGCATATTAATAGTCTACTTTCGGTTTGGGGACAGCTTCTTATAACGTTATTCTAATTCACATTATAAAAATAGTTGATTAAACATTTCGCGCACTGTACCGCATTCGTGACAATATTTTAACGCAAAAACTCGGATTAATTTTGCTTAAACAGTCCCAAACTCTGCTCAACTAGTATTGCCAGTATTGTTACATTCATTATGTTATTGTATTTATTATTGACAGCTAGCGATAAAAATTTTGCTTTGGAAAAATATGGTATATATTCCAAATGTTTCGAACATACTGATCAAATGTGGGAGGAAAGGTCCTGCAAGCAAGTTCGACAGTGGCAACATTGGGGCTCTGGATGTTATGAATACATGTGCGAGGATGGACGACTTCACATCATGGTAATATAATCATCAAAGATTATCTTGACTTGCATTTAACATATTATTCAGTTACTCATAAGTGCATGCTGTTAAAAACATAATCTTTCACAATATGATTGACTTAGTGAAGTACAATAACCTGAACTTATAAATAATAGGGAGCCATTAAATTTGGACATTAATATTGGATCATATGCAGTGGTGTTGTGCTAATATTTTTTTGCCGGAACGCTAAAATTTAAAAACCGGTTCATAAACCGGTTTTCATGTTTGTTCCGGTTCCGTTTGAAAAAGAAAGAAAGAAAAATCATTATATAACCCATTTTGTGCACATATATGTATGTTTATTACAATAATAGGAACATTTAATAAAAATTAGTTGAATTAAAATTCACTTATTAAATCATTTTCATTATGTAGCAATTTTTTTTTAAAAAAAATTGCCGGTACGCGTTCCGGCTCAAAAGTGATTTGCCGGAACGTTCCGGCGCGCTCCGGGTCGACAGCACCACTAATCATATGTTATTAAATTTTTTAAAATTGTAATTCTTTGAACACCGTTTAAATAAAAGCCTATGTTCATTCATTTCAGTAATTTTGCTAATTATATTATTAAAATAAAACTCAAGTTTTCTTTCTATATCAACCAATTACTAATTTATTTATATTTTTAATGAAATTACAATATTTTAATTAGGGAAATATTTAAAAGTACAAAAATTTATAAAATAATTGACTTAATCAACCAAAATTGAGTTTTAAGGCCCGTTGACACAGCGCTTGTTTTTGTCGCTTTTTTGGTCTGCTGGTTATCAAGTAGGCAAAATGACGTCGGGTCGATCTCCATTTATTTCCAGCATGCAAGATTTTGATGTTAGAACGTGCGCTATTTTTGTGGATGGATAATGGACCTTTGAATAAAGCCCGAATCACGCGGCATTTGTTTTCTGGGATGGCTACATAGCAATGCTTGATTTCTAAAGACCTGTTCACACGAGGCTTGTTTTCTGGACTAGATAGCATGGCAGATTGTGCCGCGGATGTCGGCGATAGATTTTATGATAGTTTTTTAGCCGTTTGTTTCAAACGATGAGAAAAAGCTTGCTTGCTTTGAGCGAAATTTGTTTTAGCTTGCTAGATTTTTAAATGTGATAAACCACATGTCAAAATACTGCTTCCCTATTGGTTCGAAAGAACGAATCTATCCATAAAAATTGCGCTTGTTCACAGTCCTAATCACACGAGCATGCTCTGCTGGCTAGCATGCTGGTTGTCAAGTCGGCAAAATGTTTTGCGCTCGACCAGCAGTCCATGTAATAGTCGATATAATTCAAATATCATTTGTGATAGTTTTATTTCAATAATATAATGGCAATTGTGATGTTTGTAAGAAATGATATTAATATTTCCTCTGTGAAATAAATGTACATAAAACCGAATCCACATGTTGCCAATCCACAGCATGCAGCATATGACATATGACATTTAATCAACCGGGAGAGTCCACGATTGTCGGCAACTGTCGTTCAGCAAGTGACGTCACAGTTCTCTCTATCTGTCTACACTTTATACAATGAAGATATATAAGGACTAGCAGCACATGTAGTATTTGGTCTATGTCCAGGCTTTATTTATTGTTGTGCCCCATCCAGCGACGGAGTCAACAAAATGTAGGTTCTTCCTGCTACTGAGCATCAAGCTGATACCACACTGTGAAGGCGAATCAGTAAACAGATGAAGACGTTTGATGTTTATGTTTATTTTATGATTCTTGGACACTTTTCATATAACTTTAACTTAACAACTGAACTTAAATATAACTCCATTGATTACTAAATACTACTGACACATTATAACGACTGAACTATATTGACTGAAATATGAACTAAGAATGAACTGAGACTGACTAAGACTGACTAAGAATGAACAACGATTCCATCATCCTGCAGCTTTTATATTCCTTATCAAGATGACGCAATCCTTTTCTAGAATGTTCGTTCGAACTTGTTCAGATTCGTTATATGTGAGTCAGAAACTACGCACTCCTTATTTATTTAATTCGCAGTTTGTGGTTTTGCAGTTAGAAAGCCTTGAAAAAGACCATTATTCTAAACACGTGTTGTTCTTATCTCTAACATGCAATGTAAGAGCTATGACTAAACAAGCATACTGCGACGTTCATATTCTGACCGTTATATAGTAATTTATGATATTTTTTTTATAATTATTACAAATGGGTGGACACTCCTAACATCATAAGTCTGTGATCCATTCACAAAAATAACGCACGTTATTATACCTAAATCTCGCTTGCTGGAAGTAAATGGAGATCGATACGACGTCATTTTGCCTACATGATAACCAGCATGCTAGACAGCCGACCAAAAAAGCAACGAAACAAGTGTTGTATGAACGCTTTTATTATTCCAATTTTTTGATTAATTGATATGATTCAACCGATTTCTTTCAAAATGTATTAATAACATATTCGTTTTTTAATAATGACATTGTTTTTTAAACTAGGTGTCCAACTACACATACACTTGCCATTATCCAGGCCAAAAATTGAACATAAAAATACTGAGTAATGGTTGGCTGCATCGCGGAGCGATTATTTGCCCATCTTGCCACGAATTGTGTAATGAATATTTTTCGAAGCAAAACGAGAAGTGCAAGCCCGACGATGAGGCGCCCGCCACTCACCTATATCCTCGAGATTGGTTGACTTGTGGTGCATATTCCTTGGGATATAGTGAAACTTACGAATATTTTATTGTAAGTACTTTGACATTATTAATCGGATTTATTTCAAGTTTATAGAAAATATTAATGTGTGATTGCTATTGATAACAAATAGTTATAATGCGAAAATAATAAGTAAAAAATTGTTATAAACATTTTCTTAATGTACTTACAATATTGTAAACTGTATGATGTGGATTTATAATTTTATTATAACTTATATTACTACTTAAGCTTTCGGACTGAATTATATATATGAAAATAAGACATTGTATTTAACTTTTCTAATTAGATAGTTTCTATATAAAGCAATATTACAAAGTACATGTATGCAAACATATAGGGAATGCAATATCGATAAAAAAATGAATCCGGTATTTCGGTATTTTTGTTTTTGAAACCTGTAAATAGCGGTATTAATATTATTTAACAAAATGTAGACAAAATTGAAAGTTTTTTGCAAGAATATAAAAAATAAATCTAATATTGATAATACTCAGTATCGATTATTGTGTACCTTCTTTTCATCAAAATCAAACTTATGCGGAAGAAAGACCAAAAACTATTCGATGTGATTTTTATTTAAAACAATATTATTTAAATAATAAAGATTACCCAGTAGTACGCTTTATTTCGTAGATTTTGAGTATTATTTAAATAATTTGAATTTTAAAAAGCCGTTACATTTTTACACAAGAGGATTATTATTTGTGAGGATATTCTTTGTGACTCGATATTAAGTTTTTTATTTTTTTTATTTTTTGGCCTCGCTTACTCGAGCATTTAGCCACCTACATTATTCTATACAATCATATATCCTATACAATATTCAATTTTATACCATCTTCTTCATATAATCCTATTCTTTTTTTTTCTATACTTCATAACTTATCTTCATTCTTCTTTTACTATCTTCTCATTTCATCTTCTTCTATACTTCTCATTTCTTCTAAATTCTTCTTACTTCAATTCATTTTCAATTCCAATTATCTAATTTTTATACAGTTTGATTTTACATACATATCTTATTAGTACAATTCATAACTCTATTATTACTCCAACTTAACTAGTTAATATTTTTCCAAATTCTTGCCGGAGATTCGAACTCGGAACCTCCAGCATGTGAATCGGGAACGCTACTCTTGAGCTGATATTAAGTTCATTGAAAAATAATAAAATATTTAGCCTAATGACGAGTCGAGATGATATTTTGACACTTGTCTATAGCGCGACTTAAAAAGACATATGTTTTAGGTGATAATGAGATTTGTTGTTGATTATGAGAATTGTTCCGATAAACTCAAACTTATGTGTAAGATGTATCCCCTAACTCTTATGTTTCAGTACAAGAAATACCGATATTTTAAGGTAAATACCGTCGAAATTTAACACAGTATACCGGTTTTTCGATATATCTGTATTGCATTTTACAATTATATATATATATATATATACATATATATATATATATATATATATATATATATATATATATATATATATATATATATATATATATATATATATATATATAATAGTAATGTGAATGTGAGAGCAGAGAATATTAACGCTTTCGCTATGAGTTAAAGTATTGATAATTCTTTTTTTTAATATTTAATTTTTTTTAAGTGTATTTTTATTTTAAATATATTTTTATTGATAATAATTGAAAAATTAAAAAAAAGTTCTTGTGTCCGGTGATGTGTGCGGTGATGTTGTTCCGTATAGCATCGTTACTCCTGCGGTAAACACTCTCATAGCGAAAGGGTTAATTTTATAAAAATAAACACAGTACACTTTGTTTGCACTAACTTAATTAAAATTAAAAACAACTATATTTTTATACAACGGAAATAAGTCTAAATTCAAACTGCAATAATATTTATGGGGCAAGCAGAAAAATTCAAGTTCAAAAATTTCAACAAGCCTAGAAAAATGTGTATTTTTAACATCATTAACCAAGTTGGTGCAAAGAAAATTGCTCTATAATATAATAATTGCATAATATATAGATATAATGAAATAATAAATGGTGCTGCACTAGGGCAGCTCCGTTAAGCTGAGTTAGACCCCAATTTGATTTGGAGAAGAATATAGTGCGATAGATTTTCCGTTGCCATTACACACCGCAGTGCCCGTATATATATATATATATATATATATATATTCAATAGATAAGTCCTAGATTTTTTTCAATATATTGATTGTTTCTTTTCCGAACAGTAAATCCAATAATAAAAAAAATTTGTTTTTTGAAGATGTTTAATAACGACCTTTCGGAACTAGGTACGTTCCATCATCAGGTTTAGTCTGTCAAATACAATGTTTTTTAAAAATATTGATTAACATTAATTAATGATGGTCAATACAGATTAATTAGAAAATTTTTTTATAAAGGAATGGATTATGTACCGGGGTAAAGAGTAATAAGAATTAACTAAAAAAGGTTTTATATAAAATTGAGAAGCAAAAATTATTTACCTGTAATAATTTATATATCCATATCACTAATATTTTTATGTTAAAAACACTCGATTTTTTTGGAGGATATTTGTAGATGTTACGACTACACAAGACTTAAACACACTGATATGGAGTTCTGCCGGCCAGATGTAAGGGACAATGTACGGAATTCTTGGCAAAAATGATTTTTTATCGCTCTTGTATTGGTAATTTACGAAAATAGAGGAAATATTGCTTTAGTAAATGTTGAGAAATATTATGTATATATATACATGCACATGCATATGCACACCTACATACTCATACATACATATGCACATTTCTATATATTAATGTATCCATTATTATATACATGAACATATACGCAAGTGCATGTACATAGTGTATATACAAAAACATACATATAAGCACATATATGGATGTGCATATATTATAACACATATACATGTATATATATATACATATTCAAAAATTATTAGGATTAATTGTTTTTAATCAGGTTTAAAAAATTTAGATACGAGTCATGAATGATATTGTGATCTGATCTTTTATTAACACTATTTGACGAATTCAAAAAGATTAAACTGCTTTCAGAAAAAAGTCTTTTAAAAGTACAGTCCTCTCTATATAAAATATTGGGTTCAAAGGTAAAATTATGTGAGTTTTCAATGGAATGTTGGACAAGAGTGCTTTGGAAATTTCGGCTTTTATGATGAGTGACGCTTAATTCATGTTGTCTCATTCTCTTATGAATTATTGTGATGTTTGGCCAATGTATTGTTTTTGACAATTTTTGCAAGAGATGGAATAAACTATGTTAGTATTGAATTTAGGAGGGGTGGTGGATTTAATTTTTGAAAACATTTCTTTGAAAGAATATTAATAATTAATAATTATTTTAATATTAATAATCAATATTAATAATTTTTCTAATTAATCTGTATTGACCATCATTAATTAATGTTAATCAATATTTTTAAAAAACATTGTATTTGACAGAATAAACCTGATGATGGAACGTACCTAGTTCCGAAACGTCGTTATTAAACATATTCAAAAAACAAATTGTTTTTTATTATTGGATTTACTGTTCGGAAAAGAAACAATCAATATATATATATATATATATATATATATAGATATATATATATATATATATATATATTAAGGAGTAATTTATATTACATGAATTATGACTTTATCCGTCAATAAGTGCTATCCAAGCGATCCTTTCTTTGCAAGATATCCTGATCCTCTGAGCAGTTTTCTGTACTACTTTCGAATCCGTGCATTATTTTTTGAAAAAAAAAATTGGGAATACTTGCTTTTAACGAAAAATATTTATATAGTTAACATATACAAAGTCATATTCAGTAAAATTTTATGCTCATTTTATTTAAATGATCTTTGTTTGAGATATATGCCTCATCGTACTCGCTCAAATAATAAATATCAGATTAGTTTTATCTTTTGCACAAACTAGTGCAAAGTTTTATTACATTTATTGAGTTATTATATGGCAATTTTATATGGCAAAAAGTGACAAAATGGTAACTCAGTTTTTAAGACGGAGAAAAACGGAGCGTCCGATTTTAATAATTCAATAAACATTTTACTTGTATTGACAAGATGAAGAACTGATTAATTGAGAAGGGATTAATTGGGAAGGCATGTATAGCGGTTATAGACTCTCTTCTATAGCGGTTATAGAAAAAAAAACTTGAGAAATTGTCATTTGAACGAAAAATTGATTCATTTAATTTAAAATATGTTCATTCTAACAATAAGTCCGCTTAATTAGATTTTGTTTATATATATATTTCATTCAAACATATATAAACAACGTCGTGTAATCTAATAAGTTTTCACATTTTGTCTATAGGGAACACATAATGAAAATTCTAGTTTTTATAATATTTATTCATAGACATTTCTTTATTTATTTACTGTCGACGTTTGGGAACTAGATACGTTCCATCTTCAGGATATCTGTATATATATATATATATATATATATATATATATCAATTAAAAATAGACCATTTCGGGCACTGCCTCTCACACTATTCTTTCCTGAATCGAGTTGGAGTTTAACTCCGCTACAGACCTGCACACGGGCAGGTACTACCCATTATTTATTTATATATATATATATATATATATATATATATATACATTTATAAATAAATTATTTTATATGATTATTCTTTCAATGAAAGGGCCTACTTTCGAACTTTAAAGTGTCTACATTCCTTTAGATTCCAGTTTTTTATATTAATTATGTAGGCAAATGGTCCAACCATATATTCTTTATTCTAGATGTATTTAAAAGTGATATTTAATTATTTACTTTACTGAATACTGTATAATAAATACATGTTTTATATCTTGTTTAGGTTATATAGAATTAAGTGTGCATTAAGTTAAATGTTTTACACCATTAACAGATTTTCTTTTGTTGAATAGCATCAATTTAATAAAACGAAGGCCTAAGACCAAATTGTCTAATTAAGATGATTCTGCTTCTACAATCAATAATTATTAGAACCTGTTTAAGGTGATGTAAAACATAAACATTGAGAATGTTTTGTATACTCTGATATGTTATTATTTTGATGCATCGTGTAAAAGAATGATAGCATGTGCATTTTACCATTGAAAGCATTTAACCAAATTTTTAACTAAATACTCGAATTTATCATTACTCTGATTATACTATTTTTATTGTGGTAGCTCATATTTATAGACTACTATTAGGCAAATTAGTCAATTATTAATACGGATAATTTATAAATATTTGCTACAATGAAAAGTATGATTAAGTGAAATATTTTATCACGGTCAAACGACTTGCATATCATCTATAATATGTACAAAATATAAATATTCTCATTGTCATAAAGTGATTTGACTTAAATAGGAAAAAAAAATTTTTTTTCTGTAAGTTTAGAAAATGATTTATGTTTTGTTATTGTTAATTACATTAAAAGCATATAAATAGTTGTTGATTTCTGAAATAAATATAAATTTAAATAAATACTGTATATTTTTTTACTAATACTAAAATTGATTTATATAAAAAAATCATGAAAAAATAATTTTAATGTCATCACATAAGAATAACATGCATTTTTACTCAAATTATTTGTGAAAAAATGCACCCTTTACTCGAAATAGTCGAAATATTATATTTCGAGCAAAGCTTTTGCAAGATGGTTTATTGCAGAAGAAAATTATAAGTATGTATTGCTGTTTTCTGAAGCTTAAATATTTGATCAACCCCGATAAAAAAACATGGAATTTGATACCGCAGCCGATCGTTGACTGCCAATGACATTTGTGACGCCACAACGAGTATTAGTTAATATCTATCGATATTACCATATTCGTTGAAGGGTTCTTTTTTAATCCAATCTGCATGTCTCTTTTTTTCCTTTGATCGATACATTTTAGTTCAGTTTTATTTTTGTCGAGTTCGGTCTACATTCAGTTTTTGGACGAGTTCAGTCTTGTTAACGATTGCGAATCTTATCCAATTCTATTTCCTGTCTAGTGCCAGACTAGTTCATATAGTTCTAATCAATCTACATTTTGGATTATAACCGGTTTCCTTCACGATTTGGTTTCAGTGATGAATTTGCATACTTTTGTTCGAATTCCTTAATTTTTATAATTTTCGGTTCTTATTTAAATCTTATTTCCTTTCTTGTTTAAATCATATTATTTTTCAGTTTGTTATTCTCAAAGAAGTAGAACATTTTATTTTTCAAATTACAGTCCATTGTGCAATATGTAACAAGAGATTTCATGGGTCTGATTATTTCTAATTAAGGCCACACCACATTTTTCGCACCTCTAGCCGGATTTTCGATTAAGATTGAAAGTTTCCCCAAGTTGCCGATTCTATCTTCAGGAACAAAGTGTCAATCTCTGCTAGTGAATAATTGCATTTACCGGACGCTAAGGTAAAACTATTATATTGTTTTCTTATTTGTTTTTTTTTTTCTTTATGAATGTGTAGCCCAAGGGTGTACCTACTAATGCGCTAATCACACGGCCAATTTTCAAACAGAAAATGTATCTTTCCGTTATTAAAAATGCGCACGAATTAACCAGAAGTATGGATCATGCTTCACGAAAACAGTAGTATTTTAAGAACCTAACATTCGAGATCAATTCATTAACGAAATTAACACCTTCACGCCGGGGACGATCGTGGCCCGCGCCGCCCGGTATAATAGTCTCGTCACCGGTGGCCCACGCCGGCGTGAATGTGTTGAACTACACGCAATAAGAAAATCTCAGTTTAGTACCGGATTATGCTGCATTCCTATCAATGGAGCAATTACGCGCGGAACTAGTGGGGCGCCGCATGGCATCGTGCCTTAAGGAAAATTGCTGGAACTTCCCGTACCAAAAATTATTTTTTTTTTAAAAGGATTAACAGTTTTGAAAAAAAATTACTGTGAAAAAAATAGATTTTTAAGAAACTATAAATTTTTGACATTTTTTTGAAAAAAAAAGACTTTTTGAAGAAAAATTTATTTTGAAATATTTTGGAAATTCTGAACTTTTTTTCAAAGCAATCGTACTGCTTTAACTGCATAGAGACGAAATATCGGAGCGCGTAAGCGACGCGTCGCCGTCTAACGGATAAACATTGGTACGGAACCCATAGGAATGTAAACAAAATTTATACTTATTGTTAAAATCTCTATAAAAAATATCTGATAATTTGATGTGCATATGTCTAATGATCATTTTTGACCGCCAAATGGCATTTTTTTCACTTTTTTCATTAAATCTCCGAAACCGCTAGACCTTCATGAAAATTTGATCAATTTTTCATCTTGCTAATACAAGTAAAATGTTTTTTGACTTATTCAAATCGGACACTCCGTCCCCTTAAAAACTGAGTTACCGTTTTTGGCACTTTTTGCCCCATATCTTCGGAACGGCTAGACCTGCCTTCGCCAAAAACGAATCAGCACGTCTCCTTATCAATATGAATCGAATGTTTTTTGAATTATTCAAATCGCTACAAATGAAAATTTGTATCCTAACACACACACATACACGTACACACACACATACATTCATTTCTTCTAAGGTATGCCAAAATGTTCAGAAAGTTTTGAAACGTAAAAATATATAAAAAAATTTATTTTCGATTTTTTTGCGATTACTATAACTTGCCCTACGGGAAGTTAATATAATACTATTTCTATTTCTGTCGAAAATAATACTAATTATTCTATTAAAAAAGTAAAGATTCTACATTTAAATTTAATTCAAAATCCCGTCTACCTCCTTATCGAAGTACCAAAACTACCTTGCCTATTGAAATTTCGAGTGATTTAAAAAAATGGCCGCTGTTTAACGAAACAATCAAAGTGCTTATTCATGATAATATCGAAATCGACTAAGTATATATCCAAAATCAATTATTCAACAGGCGCATTATAAGGCCCCGTACTGAAAAAAATATACAATATTATCTACTGTCAATAAAGTTTCGATTTTATGGGATTCACTAATCAACAAATATCCAAATAATCCTTGTGTGGGCATTAATTTTTTCACACAGTTAAACAGTAAACTCTTTGCAGTTGTATATTTTTTTAGAAAAACTTGGCACAGCTGTACATGCATTAAATCAATTAACTATTCCGAATAAAAACTACAAAAAAAGTTTGAGAATTACTTTCAAGACAAGTGCACTTCATATAAAGAGTTATTGCAATTTATAAATTAAGTTGTAAAAAGTCGTAGTTTATGTTTGGTCATGTTATAATATTTAGGAAAGAGTAACAAAATCCAACACTTTCCTTTCATTCGTCACCAGCAATGTCAAATTCCATAACTTCCATATTTGTTAGAACAATCACATTCCTACACAAATGTTTACAAAACAAAACGATATTTCTTTCAAAAATTCTATGCAGAATGATATTCGCTGACCGCAAATGTTTTTATTCAGATAGCAGGTCGACCTGTTTTTTTTTGTTTTAAACTTTATTACTTTTTTTTCTTACATTTTTTTTAAGATACTTAACACTTTTTCTTACATTTTTAAGACACTTAACGCTTTTTCTTACATACATATTACTATTTCTTACTTATTACATACAATTTAATTTTTTCCTAACATATTTACATGTTTCTTTATTACTTTTTCCTTTTTATTTATATTTGAATTTTAACTTTTCTCGAGGGTCGATGTATTGACTTATTCTCCAACTCAGTCATGGATGCACAGAGTCAGAGTCCTTGTTTTTTCATTTTTGAATACAGTTATACAACCCATGTACCTCTTACTTGTAAGAGGCATGCTGCCACTACAGCTTTTGCACACTCTCCATATACGTATGCTGCAGCAATGACCACGAAAGGCTGTGATATTTAGTTTTGTGGATTGTTATTGTGTACAAGTGCATGCGCAGTTAAACAGTTCTCAACAAACACACAAATGTCCCCGTAGCGGGGGCATTTACAAATTAAATGCCGAATATTATTAATTAAATTAAATAGTTTTATTAATATTAATAATATAATGCAACATCAAGAAAATGGAAAATCTATATTACCGTTAATAGAAACATAAAATGTCTTGATCGACACTTCAATGACAGATAGTGCGTTTATACAACATCGTATACAACAACAACAACAACAACAACAACAACAACAGCAACAGCAAATTATTATGTCAATTGCTCACGATCAAAATACGTATTTACAACAGCAGCAAATTAACAAGGTAAATAACCACGAACAAAGTGCGTATATACAACTACTACAGCAGCAACAACATCTGCAACAACAACAACAGCTACATAAGCTTCAACAACAACAGATGCAACAACAACAACAGCAAATTAATAAGCCAATAGTTCATGAACAAAGCATAAATACTGTCGTTAGCGACATGGAACCTTACAGCCAGACTCCATCGGCTTCGTAATTTAAACAATGAAATTGTAACATCGAACAGATTTAGCTTACTAGCTTCAACATCGAATACACAGAACGAAAACACTACAAAGGTCCAAAGGCCACCGCTCGTATTTGTGTATAACGTAGATAAATTTGCGGATATGATTAGTGACATAAATTAAATACTCAACACAAATGAATATATCACTAAATCAATGCCAAATGACATAGTCAAGATCAATGTAGCAGCACCAGAACAGTACAGAAAACTCGTTACTTTACTCAAATCAAAACAAGCTATCTTTCACACATATCAGCTAAACGAAGAAAGGGCATTCAGGGTAGTGCTGAAAAACATACATCATACGTACGACACGGAAGAAATTATACAAGAAATTGAGGAACAAAATCATAAGGTGAGAAGTATTATCAATGTGAAGCAATACAAAACAAAGCGCCCGCTTAATATGTTTTTTATTGACCTTGGGCCGGCTAACAACAACAGCAAAATATACAATTTAACCAAACTACTCAATCATATAAGGAAAACCACATCCAAGCAGTCTCAGTAAAAATAAAAAATTATGCCTACGACCCTGTAATTGCGGCAGTGTGCTGTCCACCCCGCCATAATTTAAAGAAAGCAGATTTCAAACAATTTTTCGAAACTCTAGATTTATTGCTGGTGGCGACTATAACTCTAAAAACACATTGTGGGGCTTGAGGCTGATAACATCAAAAGGCAAGGAACTGGCTGAGCTATTACACGAAGAAAAATACAAATTTCTGTCAGGAGGATCCCCTACATATTGGCCTACCGATCAACACAAATTACTAGATTTGTTAGATTTCTTCATTATTAATGGCGTATCATATATGAACATGGATATTGTAAATAGCCTAGACTTATCTTCTGATCATACTCCAACGTTTTGCACAAATGTAATCATACGCAAAGTCAACTTCAATATATATATATAATCACAAAACCAACTGGGATGAGTGTAGAAACGAAATTGACAAAGAAATTAATCTCAAAATTAGATAAAAAAACTAGTGAAGACCTGGACAGAGCTACGCATGAATTCATACATATATTGCAAAAGGCCACCGCGAATGCAACGCCTTTATTAACTTCATACGAAAGTGAAATAAATGTTTCCCTGGAAATTCGCCATTTGTTAAGAGAAAAAAGATTCGCCATTTGTTAAGAGAAGATAGTTTTACTGAATATATTACGACAATAAACCGTTATGACAATTCAATATGGACGCCAATTAAAAACGCCAGAAAACCTACAACATTTAACTCACCGATAAGACAATCATCCAATATAGACGGACCTTGGGCCAGGAGCGATTAGGAAAAGGCAGATCTATTCGCAAAATAGCTTAGTACTGTATTTCAACCAAATAATGACATCCCTGTTCCAAACGTGGATAATATATCTGAAGATTTGGTAGACACTTTTGAAAGAATTAAACCAATAACACCAAAGGAAATCAAATCCGAAATACTGTCTTTAAAAAATAAAAAAGTGCAGGTATCGACAAATTAAATCAAAATTTTTTAAAAAAGCTATTGTGCTGATAACATACATATTCAATGCGGCATTAAAAATTGGTCACTGGCCGAAAATCTTCAAACAATCTGAAATTATTATAATACCAAAACCAGGCAAGCAATGGCACATAGATAACTTCTGCAGACCAATTAGTCTACAACCCATACTATTAAAAATGCTAGAAAAACTATTACTAGCAAGAATAAGAGATAAGCTTACTGTCATACCACACTACCAATTCGGATTTAGGAGAGAGCATTCGATCATACAACAATGCCATAGGATGATAACGGCGATTCGAAGCCAATAGATACTGCTCCAAATTAAACAGGCTTTTGATAAAGCGTGGCACAATGGTCTTTTATTTAAAATAAAAAATTGCCTGCCGGGAAGTTATTACATGTTAATAAAATCATATTTAACAAACAGATCCTTTAGAGTGAAAGTAGGCAGCGCTGTATCGGAATTCTACAATATAAACGCAGGAGTGCCACAGGGAAGCGTAATGGGACCCCTGTTATTTACCATCTTTACACATGACATTCCAACTAATCCGAATACAATTCTCGGAAAATTTGCAGACGACACCATAATCATGGCTACCCACGAGGACCCTATAATAGCATCGCTGAATCTACAAGAATACCTTTTCAAATTGGAACTCTGGCTCAAAAAATGGAAAATTGATATCAACGAAAATAAATTGAAACACATGACATTTACTTCAAACAGTCAAAATTGTCCAGATGTATCTATGAACAGCATTGAAATCCCTACATGCAGTAATATAAAATACCTAGGAATGAAATTAGATCGCCGATTAACATGGAAACTACATATTAAGGACAAGTGCAAAGAAATAAAAGCCAGATTTAAACAATTAATTGGATGATAAGAAGAAGGTCGAAAATGTCGCTTGAGAACAAACTGTTAATTTATAAAGCTGTTATAATACCCATCTGGACTTATGGAATTCAGCTATGGGGATGTGCAAGCGCATCGAATACTAAAATGGTACAAAGAACACAAAATATAATTTTAAGATCTATTGTAAATGCCCCATGGTATATGAACAATCAAATAATCCATAATGATCTAAAAATAGATACGGTATGCGAAACAATAAAAAAGTTTAGCAATAGATATCATACAAAGTTGATCAACATACTAACCCAAGCATCCAACACATCGCACGAATTATACCGACCAGAAGACTTAAAAAAAGTGGCCAGAAGACCTCAAATCAAGTTAAACTAGCTGTAAGTGGAATTCTGTCTTAAGGCAATTAGGGCATCGTGCCTTAAGGCAAATTGCTGGAACTTCCCGTACCAAAAATTATTATTTTTTTAAAAACGATTAACATTTTTGAAAAAGTTTTACTTCGAATAAAATAGATTTTTGAGAAACTATAAATTTGACAAAAAAATACTTTTTTTTGAAAAAAAAATTTTTTTATTTGAAAAAAAAATTTTTTTTTGAGAAAAAAATTTTTTATTTGAAAAAAAAATTTTTTTTTGAGAAAAAAATTTTTTTTTGAAAACAAAAATTTTTTTTGAAAAAAAAAAATGTTTTCTTCATTTTGATATATTTTGAAAATTCTGAACTTTTTTTCAAAGCAATCGCACTGCTTGAACTGCATAGAGACGAAATTTCAAAGCTCGCAGGTGCCGCGCCGCCGTCTAACTCATAAGCATTGGTACGGAACCCACAGAAATGTAAAAAAAAAATATACTTATTGTTAAAATCTCTATAAAATATCTGACAATTTGATGTGCATATGTCTAATGATCATTTTTAACCGCACACACACACATACATCCATTTTTTCTAAGGTGTGACAAAATATTCAGGAATTTCTGAAACGTGAAGATATTTGAAAATTTTCATTTTCGATTTTTTTGCGATTACTATAACTTGCCCTACGGGAAGTAAAAATGTCCGTCGCAAAAATCGAAATTGAAATTTGTTGCATATCTTTATGTTTTAAAGGTTTCTGAAAAATGGATGTTGTGTGGGTATATGTGTTTTGTGTGTCTACAATTTTTCGTCCACGTTTTCGAGCGCACGGATCAACCGATTTAAATGGTTCAAAAAATATTCGATTCATATTGATAGGGAGATGTGCTAATTAATTTTTGAGAAAGATCGACCATCCGTTTCCGAGCTACGAAGCAAAGAGTGCAAAAAATGGAAATCGAGCTTTTGAGAGAACAGAGCATCCGATTTGAATGATTCAAAAAACATTCAATTTGTAATGATAAGAAAATGTGGTGATTAGTTTTAAAGTGTAAAAAATGACAGTTTTTTAACCAGATAGCACAGAAGTTACCGATGACATCATGATTTTACTCAAAACGTCACGAAATATTGTCGATATTAATGCAGCAAATTTAGTTTGAATAAATTTATTTCCACTCTATAAAAATATGTATTTATATATCTTCTTATATATAAAAATGGAGCTCTCTTTCAAATGTCCGAATAAAACTCGAAAACGGCTGAATCGATTTGGCCAGTCTTAGTCTTGAAAAATTCGTGCCAATCCAGAGAAAGTCCAAAAGGTGAGAAATTATTTCAAATCCGCGTAGAAACTTTACATTTTTAATTTCAAAATTTTTATAGAAGCGTAATTTAAATAAAACAATCGACGGTGGCAATTTCGTGAAATGTCAAACGCTTTTGACAGATGATGTTCAATTACGTTTAATAGGATGTTTATTATTTATTTATGATAAATTTGTAATAAGTAGTTTTGTTTGTAGTTTTATTTATATACAAAAACGTTAGTAAACGGGCCGCAAGTGTTACTAGAGACTCAAAATATAAACTTTTTTGATATGTTAATATGAAAACGCACTTTTTGGCATATTTTTCTCAAACACGGTGCTCTGAAAGATCTCATTTGT